GCGCCCAAAGATGACTCGGCGCTCGTGTCGACTATTTTGTTGGTGCGAAACAATCTGACTATAATCGACGCCCTTTTGCTTCAGGGACAGGGAGGCAATGGTATACTGAAAATAGGGAACCAATTGCCCGGAGCTAAGTCTGTGCTCTCCTTTGAATTACTTGAGAAGCATTTAAAGAGTTGCTCCAAAACAAAGGGCAGTCCGCCGTCGGCCAGTGGATCGTTTCCAATTGAGCCCACATTTACAGTCCACCGAACATTCACTGCCGTAAATGTGGGCAAACTTTCGATGAGAATTATTGGCTTCGCGATCGGATCCCAAACCGGGACCACTGCTATGACTTGTCAGGGATACGGGTTTAAAGTCATAAATTGCGGTCCATTTGAGTTGAGACCCAATGAGAATCGCAAAATCCATATCGCATTCACTCCCGATTTTACGCAATACAAAGTGAAGCAAATGTTGACAATATTGACCGATAACTCAAACGAGAAGATCGAGTACGCGTTGACCGCAACTCTGCCCAAACATCTGCTCCCGCTTTGCAATCAGTCACTTCCGCGACCCAATTGGGAGGCCGTCCTCTACTACTGTTTGGTAACAATGATGACATTTATGATACTTCTGGCCGTTTGCGTCGCATTCTTCGATGGCGACCGAATCCTCAACTTCTCCTTCTATCCCGTTTTGACCACTTATGCGGTCACAGCCTATGAGAGCAATAATGGAAGTGCCTCTTCCGAAGACATGAATGAGAAACTGTTCCAAAAAGTGACCACATTTTCAACCGCTGACGAATCGAAAGATAACAAACGAAACAATGATTTAAGAAACAGAAAACTGAAATCTAAAACCACTCGAAATACAAACTCTAAGGAAGAGTTAAACAGTGATATAAGCGGTGGTCGTCTGTATGAGAGACAGACTTGGGCTCAGTTTCTGAAGAAGAAGTTTGTGCGGCGCGACTCTTCCGGAAGCGATAAAAGCAGCGGAAGTCATGTCAACACACGTTCCTCTTCGCAGACAAATTTATCAAAATCTCAGACAACGAGCGCTGAGAGCGTTAAGAAAGAGACCACTTCTGCAAATGTGGACAAAACAGTGGCTAATAATAAGTCGAAAACGAAAAAGAATCAGAAATCAGAAAATGATAACAAAGCGAATAATAAGAAAAAATTGATTTATACGACAAAACAGGAGAACTTAACGAATGTGATATCGTCTCCACCGCCACCTCTGCCTGAGTTCGCGTCCTCTTTCGATGAGGAGAGCTTTTACAAGAACTTAAAGACTAACAAAAAGTCCAGAACTAATTCCCTGCACACGACGGACACCACTGCCGGGCCCTCCAGTTTGGAACTGCCGTATAAACCGAAAAGTAATTTAATTAATAACACGACGACCGCTAAGAATCATATGAAGAGATCGAAACATAAGGACGATTTGGCCGCCGATGACAACGAGTCTTACAATTTGTCTAATGATAGTTCAATTATATGGGATTCGCCTATAAATACGTTGGATTGCGATAACTCTATGTCTGAATTGGTTCGACAAACGGAGATCTTTGCGGAGAAATCTTTTGAACGTAAACTGAAGAACAGAACCAAATCTAACGAACAGTCGATGTATTCTTTCGCCCAAAATCGTGATCCTTTACTGTCTAACAGTTGGTCACAACTGAGATCAGCCACACCTCCGGCCTCTACTGCTCACCATCTGATTGACGAGTCGTTATTGGAGAGAAGAACGCCTCCCATTCGGTTCACACAAGCGGTCGAACGGCCCATACCATCGAATCCATGGCACACAACAGATGTGAATCAACTTAATGTCAACACTTTGGACAACGAATTTTGAGGATTCGGTCGCCATCGAAGAATGCGACGCAAACGGCCAGAAGTATCATAAATGTCATCATTGTTACCAAACAGTAGTAGAGGACGGCCTCCCAATTGGGTCGCGGAAGTGACTGATTGCAAAGGGGGAGCAGATGTTTGGGCAGAGTTGCGGTCAACGCGTACTCGATCTTCTCGTTTGAGTTATCGGTCAATATTGTCAACATTTGCTTCACTTTGTATTGCGTAAAATCAGGAGTGAATGCGATATGGATTTTGCGATTCTCATTGGGTCTCAACTCAAATGGACCGCAATTTATGACTTTAAACCCGTATCCCTGACAAGTCATAGCAGTGGTCCCGGTTTGGGATCCAATCGCGAAGCCAATAATTCTCATCGAAAGTTTGCCCACATTTACGGCAGTGAATGTTCGGTGGACTGTAAATGTGGGCTCAATCGGAAACGATCCACTGGCCGACGGCGGACTGCCCTTTGTTTTGGAGCAACTCTTTAAATGCTTCTCAAGTAATTCAAAGGAGAGCACAGACTTAGCTCCGGGCAATTGGTTCCCTATTTTCAGTATACNGTGGACTGTAAATGTGGGCTCAATCGGAAACGATCCACTGGCCGACGGCGGACTGCCCTTTGTTTTGGAGCAACTCTTTAAATGCTTCTCAAGTAATTCAAAGGAGAGCACAGACTTAGCTCCGGGCAATTGGTTCCCTATTTTCAGTATACCATTGCCTCCCTGTCCCTGAAGCAAAAGGGCGTCGATTATAGTCAGATTGTTTCGCACCAACAAAATAGTCGACACGAGCGCCGAGTCATCTTTGGGCGCGAAACTAATCGACACTTTCTTTCGGGTCCCGAATGGCAACAAAAATGTCATGGAATTGGAGTCGGGATTCACACCAATCGCTTCCTTTATATTCTTACGGTTGGAGACGATTTCATCAGAAGTCAAATTTGTTAAGTGAAAACTTTTGGGTTTAGTTTCCGCAGAATTCAACTCTTGTTCTGTCCATTGCGTACGAAAACCGGATTTAAAGAGTTGGAGAATCGCTTCTGGATTCGGATAATCAGACAAAAGGACCACTTGAATGAGGATCGGCTGAGAGGAAGGATTCTCGACCAGTATTTCTTTATTCTATTTAAGAAACAAATAAAATATTAATAACATTTGCATTAATTATGAACTGTAACTCACAGTTATATTGCCGACTCGAGTGATGGGAAATTTAATGAGTTTTTTGTTAATAAGTTTAGGCCATTGTAACTGCGCCTGAGCTGAGATAGAGAGGGCACTCACGCCGTCGATTGCCATCCGTAGGGTTACGTTAATTCTGTTCAATACAATCAAAAGTTAATATTAAATACAGTCAAACAATATTTATCAAAAAGCATACGTTTTATCTGATTCTTGCAAATTAGTCCATCGACTGTATAACAGTTTATGTAATTCTTTATCAATATATCCGGTGTCCGGATGGAGACCAACGCCCAGTAGCCACAGGTGTAATTCAACTCTTGTTCTGTCCATTGCGTACGAAAACCGGATTTAAAGAGTTGGAGAATCGCTTCTGGATTCGGATAATCAGACAAAAGGACCACTTGAATGAGGATCGGCTGAGAGGAAGGATTCTCAACCAGTATTTCTTTATTCTATTTAAGAAACAAATAAACTATTAATAACATTTACATAAATTATTAGCTGTAAACTCACAGTTATATTGCCGACTCGAGTGATGGGAAATTTAATAAGTTTTTTGTTAATAAGTTTAGGCCATTGTAACTGCGCCTGAGCTGAGATAGAGAGGGCACTCACGCCGTCGATTGCCATCCGTAGGGTTACGTTGATTCTGTTCAATACAATCAAAAGTTAATATTAGATACAGTCGAAGAATATTTTATCAAAAAGCATACGTTTTATCTGATTCTTGCAAATTAGTCCATCGACTGTATAACAGTTTATGTAATTCTTTATCAATATATCCGGTGTCCGGATGGAGACCAACGCCCAGTAGCCACAGGTGTCCGACCTCTTTGGATGTGTCGAGTCCTGAGTAACACAATTTGCCGCACGTCTTGATTGGATCGAAGTATAACTTTCCGATATTGTTGTGACCATATCTCACAACCGAGTCGTTCAACTGGAAAGTGAAGCGCTGGTCTTCGGGCATCACAATCGATGACTTGTATTTGAGGTCATGAGTGAAATAACTGGTGAGTGCGACCGTTTGCGAGGATATACGGCCGGGAAAGCAGTTGGGAATCACCACTCCTTCCAACACAAAACTCCCCTCAACCGCGTGTAAGACAAACGGTATACTAATCCTCTCGTAAGCGGTCTCGACAAACGTCTCGCCGTAATAGACGCCCTCCTCGTGAAAGCCAACCAAATGGAGTTTAAATATCGCATAGTATTTAGGCTTTAATATTGTTATCTAAATAAGCAAAACAAAACTCAATTAATAACTGAATTGTGTTATAAAATTTTCCTATAAAAGAAAGACCTGTTTTTTAGAAAGTGTTGAAAAGTCCAACTTATGTGAGATAACGGTGGCGTTTCCCTCAGCGACACCCATGAGCTCGACGTACGCTTTACTCATATTACAGCCCCAATGCTTTAGTTTCACGACTACGGGATTGTTGTTAATCACAGCAAAAGTCATCGACTTTTTCTCTCCCAAACCAATGGCACCAAAATCAAGAACCGTTTGGTTTAACGATTGAGGAATAAACTGAAGAATGAAATAGTTTTAGTGTGAATTAAATTGAGTGCTGAGTCTAACACAAACCACATCTAATTTGCCGCTATAGGCCTGTAAGGGAACGTCAAAATAACTTAAATTCGTATTCAAACGAAAGGTTGTCTCCAAATGACTCAATTGAGAGGAAGGCGTAAACGTTATCTTAAGTGCCGTTTCTTTTGAATTCTCGGCTAACGTAATGGTAGGGGAGACCAACACAACCTATTCGTAGACAACGTATGGTTACATTAAATGCTTATTAATCTCTTTTTAATGCCGAAAACATGCCTTGAAATAGGGTTTCGCTTCTTCGGGCAATGAAACCGAATGAATAACTAGTGTTGAGTTGAATTGATTGTGTAAAACAAGACTCCGTTTCTCTTGTACTGAATTTGATTGTATGTAGAATTGGGTTTGCGTTTCGTTATAACTTAAAAACCTATCAATTAATTCAATTAAAACGTTAAATAAAGATATAAACAAACAAATGGTTGCGTTTGGTATGACTGACCCCTGAAGAAGTCGCACGATGTAAGGAATGGCTAACTTGTACTGATTATTCTTCGACTTGACCACAATCTTTCCGGTGCACTGTTTGGAGCACTGAGTGATCTTATTAGTGCGTTTGGTATGACTGACCCCTGAAGAAGTCGCACGATGTAAGGAATGGCTAACTTGTACTGATTATTCTTCGACTTGACCACAATCTTTCCGGTGCACTGTTTGGAGCACTGAGTGATCTTATTAGGCGTTAGAGTGACTCTCGCAATGTCTATGGAGTGGAATATATTGGGCGACACTTTGACGGGTGAACTGAAGTCGGTTATAGTGACCGCTTCGTTGACGGGCGTCGCGATTACATTCTGGATTTGGATCTGTTTGGAGCCGGCGTTCAATATCTGTATGGCAATGGTTCGCGGCTCGTCCTGAGTCCGCATTACACCGAAGTCTAACAAATCAATGGGCGAATAGAGGCCGGGAGCGGACGACACCTCCACCTCAACCGGTAATATAACAAAGTGTTCGTCACTGCTATTGGTTTTAATCCTGATATAAGAGGTATGGTTTCGCTCACTGCGAGCCAAAAAGTTGGCTCTCATTATAGTCTTGGTCTCGAACGGCGCGATTTGCCACAAATTCTTCAGCCCTTCGGGCTCTCCGTTCGGTAACTCCAGATGCAGTCCACCCCCTGTTGTATACATTTCTGTCAACTGAGTGTTTAAATCAATTGTTAGTTTCCAATAATAAACTCAATTATAAGCGATGGCAACAGACCTGTAGTGTCGAAGTGTGAGGATTATAGATATGAATAAGCGGTGCGTACGAAGAATTAATGGGCACTTTTGCGCCGATGAATGGCCGCAATCGGTATGGATTGGAGACACCAATAGCTGTCACTCGGTATTGAAAAGAGCCCAAAGAAGTGTGAATATAAAGTGTATTATTAACGCGTCCTTCAGTTCGGGCCAGAA